CCAACAGACTCTGCACCCCGAGAGGGTCTGCAGCGGGTCCAGGGATGCCCCCAGGGGGGAACTGCCCCCCTAGAAGAGAGGACTTGGTGAGTAGATTTCATCATCATCATCACCCGAGATTTCATCTCAGCAGGAGACAGCTTGGAGGAGTTTTGGATATAATGGAATTCTGTAAAAATCAAGAGAGATCCAGTGGCAGATAGAGGATGGGTTTTTTTGCTGCTTCTGGTGGAACAAAAAGTCTGGAGTATGAAACTTGTGAGTCAAAACAAACAAAAAGGGGAGACTTTCTAAGTGGAGTTCCTTCCTAAATCCTGGTTGTTTTCTCTCCCTGGCCATTGCCACTGAAAATCTTTTGTTAAGCAGAATGTAAATACCACCACATGGCTGCAGCCTTCCTGGCACAGGAATCACAATTGCCAGAAGTGCTGCAAGCCACTGGAAAACACTTATAAACCACAAATCCTTCTCATGTGGCCTCTGAAGGGTTAAAAAGCTCTGGGCTGGAGTTCCTGAAAGCATAAGTATATCCTAAATAGTTATATGTCTAAATGAATTACTTCTCTAATGGCATTTTTATCCCCAGTTGGCTTCCTGGATAATCCAATTTATTCAGATAGTAACAAGGAGTAAGCAGCTGGCGGTTTGCCGCCTGAGACAGCAAAAACAGAGCAGGACCTGAGCCGTGAGCCCCCGCTGAGGCAGTGCTTGGGGCGTTTGCTGAGCAGTGTCCATCCAAACACCACCAAGTGGCTGTGAAGGTGCTTCTAAAACTGGGGCTTTTCTCCCCAGACAGAAGTGTCTGGTCGGCCCCAGTATGCTGGTGGGCTCTATCTTTGACCTGGAGAGGTTGTGTGCACTGCGTCAGTACATGTGTGAAGAGGTCCAAACACTGCCTATTTATCTGATTTCTTAGCAAGTCTCATCATATGTAGGATTTTTAGAAGTCCACAGTGTGTACCATCAAAGCATCACGTAGTTGGAAACTAAAACAAATGTCTCAGTGTTGCTAACCTCTGAAGTTGTGGAAAGAATCAGCTGACTTACCCACGAACTTAGAGTAGGGTCTTTCATCAGGTGGTGACTGTGAAGAATGCATTTCTGAGTGAATCTCAGCATAAAAGGTGCACAAAAGTCAAACCTGACAGAAGCAAACTGTAATATGTCGATAGAGCTGTCTGCTGCAGCTGAGCAACAATCTTGCCTTTTCCAGAAGCCACCTCACAGAATATTTGGAGTTTGATTTCCATGTTGCTTTGGATGCTACATGGAAAATTTCTTCCATTGGACCCAATCCTTTTTTTTCTTTTTTCTGGCAGAAAAGACCACATTCATGAGCATTGGCCAGATCCTGCACCCAGGCCAGCAGTGGCACTGATCGTTAGCGTAGCGGATCATCAATTGGAGACGTGCAGGGGAAGGCCTATGGGAGGATGCAGAGCAAATCTGAGAACTAACACCAGTAACAGTCATCACTAATACAGTTACGATTCCCTGCCCATAGTTGGGTTATGCTTAGCTGCTCCTCTCACCCTCACGAGTCTCCCTTGCCTCGGTTCAGTTGTGTATGAGCAAAGGAGAGAGGAAGAAACTCTCTGAAGTTTCAGGGCTCTTTTCTTTGGGACTGCTGGGGTTTTTTTCCTGCTTTTTTACTCTCCAGTGTTTGTTGACTGGTTTAGTCTGGTTTAGTAGATTTTGAAGTTTATTTTTATCTATTCTTTTTTTTTTTCTTCCATTCTGGACCCTCAACAAACTCAATCCACAAATTCATGCAGTCAGTATTCAGTGGGTTGAATTAAGCATAGCTGCAGCAAAGATGGTGAGGGGTCTGGAGAATAAGTCTTATGAGGAGCGGCTGAAGGAACTGGGGTTATTCAGCCTGGGGAAGAGGAGGCTGAGGGGAGACCTTATTGCTCTCTACAACTCCCTGAAAGGAGGGTGTAGAGAGATGGGGGTCGGTCTCTTCTCCCAAGTCACAGGCGACAGGACAAGAGGAAATGGCCTCAAGTTGCGCCAGGGGAGGTTCAGGCTGGATATTAGGAAAAATTTTTTCACTGAAAGGGTTATCAGGCATTGGAATGGGCTGCCCAGGGAGGTGGTTGAGGCACCATCCCTGGAGGTGTTCAAAAGACGGGTTGATGTAGTGCTGGGAGGTATGGTTTAGTGATGATGCTCCTTGTTTGTTGTGTGGGTGTCTATTTTTGTCAGTTAGGCTGACGGTTGGACAAGATGATCTTTAAGGTCCCTTCCAACCTAGAAGATTCTGTGATTCTGTGATCTCTGTAGCAAAATTAATAATGACTTTGTATAAAATAACTGCCCATTTACAATCCTATTTTTTGTACTGCAGGTATGTGTGGTACTTTGTTAGAGCCTCAGTGGGTTCTAACTAGATAAGGCAAGATCAAAGATGACTGCTCCGAGTGGAAGAAGATGCTCAAAGAAAAGGAGACCAGCCTGATCTCAGTCAAAAGCCTCTAGAAAGTGAAGAAGATGAATGGGAGACAAGTAATTAAGCTCAGTAAGTGGCTGAATGACAGTAATTTGTGTTCAAGATGTCTGAGCATTGGGCAGTGTCCACATAAGAGGAGCTCTTGCTGACAGACAGCGTCATCTTGAAAACCTGAAATAGTAGCCCACACAACACACAAGATGTCTGAGCATTGGGCAGTGTCCACATAAGAGGAGCTCTTGCTGACAGACAGCGTCATCTTGAAAACCTGAAATAGTAGCCCACACAACACAGGGGTAATGGAGTAGCCAGGTTTTAAACAAAGACTTTAAGGAGAGGTACATACAACCTCTATAGCTGGTGTACCCAGTCAAGTGGCTGTTTCCATTTTCACCATCATCACAAATCTTTTAGCTGTAATTATTTCACAGAAATAAGAGGGAAGCGTGATGAGTTATTCTCCGAACTTAGATACCTGTGCCCAGGCACTCAGCACAGCCCCATGGCCTGTAGATATTACAGACCCCATGCCTCAGACACTCAGGTGAGGGTGACTTGGGCTCGGGGCAGGTGAGCAGCAGCTCTGTTTGCCTCTGGACTAATTTTTCTGCCCACTAGAGAGCACTCAAATACAAGGTATAGACAAAGTGTGATGAGTTATTCTCCGAACTTAGATACTTGGGCCCAGGCACTCAGCACAGCCCCATGGCCTGTAGATATTACAGACCCGATGCCTCAGACACTCAGGTGAGGGTGACTTGGGCTCGGGGCAGGTGAGCAGCAGCTCTGTTTGCCTCTGGACTAATTTTTCTGCCCACTAGAGAGCACTCAAATACAAGGTATAGACCAGGGACAGGCGGCTGGTGCTAACTGCAGTCCCCAGCTGTGTCTCACCCTTGGGGAGCCAACTGCCCATCCAGCTCCTGCCCAGCGTGATTGTCTTGCACAGTCAATGCCACCGACTCCAGTTGAACCCTCAACTCATGCTCAAAACCTGCCTCTGGGACCAGTTATACTGGGATTTCCTATAGAGCTGAAACCAGTTAGCGATATGACCACGTTTGCAGTTAGGGCAGATGTTTGTATTTGCTTTTTATACATGATTTTACTCCCAATAGCTAAACTAGGAGCCTTTCACAGATTCATAAGCCAGAGTTTTCTCAGGCACCTACCTCAACACAAAGAGGGTTTTGGGGGACCGAGTCTTAGGTTTTCAGTTGGACTCAATGATCTCAAGGGTCTTTTCCAGCCTGAAAGATTCTGTGATTGTGTTATAAGTGGGAGTGGGATGAAAAAGGGGGAGATGAAAGAAATGCTAAAGGTTAGAAATCAGCAGCTTACAGCTCCTGTGCTCCATGACCTCTTCCTGTACTAGCACGGGGCTTTTCTGACAGAGGATAGGTTATTCTCCATCCACTGGGCTGGAGCAAGGAAATAGAGGGAGAAATGATGGAGATGCAGCAATCATCCTCTTCCCCAGCCCTCAGAAAGGAGCACAATCACATTTGCTGTCCCTTGCCAGACATGACTTAAAAGCTCTCCCCTTGTCCCTCACTATGCAGACCTAAACAAACATCTGAAAGAGGTTTTTGCAAGGACTTGAGCAAGCTCAGATGGCTCGGGGGCTGGCAGTTGGCTGCAGAGCTTATGGTGTGACACCTGTGAGATAGCCAGGTTATCGCAGAGCTAGCTTATGGTCCAATGCCTGTGAGATAACTGACAACCAGGTCCTGGGGAACAGCTTGGTGCCAAATCAGGGACCTGTTGGTAAATGGGCAATTGAAAACACAGGCAGTGAGAAGTGTGTTGGAGGACACCTGTAGCAGAGACTCCAGACCTGAGAGGTGAAGAGGATGGTCCTTCCCTGTCTCTTCAGCTCTGTCTGGGACATGGGAAAAGCAGGTTTACACCAGATAGTCTTTCGCCACATGTGCTGGAGGAAAGGTGTGCCCAGCAGGTGTATAATGCAGGCTCAGAGTTCCCAGAAAGGGTTAAAATGAAGAAGAAAAACCTTCCAAAGCCTGTTAAAATATGGAGTGATTAGTGGCTGGGGTGTGTTAATGCCTCTCTGTTCCCTGT